AATTTTTGGAGATTTTTGACCCCCCCCATGTAACGCGCCGTAACGTTTTTCTGTACCCAAGTATAGTAAAACGTTTCGTGACCACCTAGTGACTGTTTATACCTAAAAGTTACCAAACCAATATTTGGTGTAAAGTACTGGAAAGTCGAAAATAATATTAACAATAAAGCGTAATTCAATCCCCGCCCCGCATCGTAACGTTTTATAAAAGCCCCCCACCCCCAAAATTCGTTACGTAATACTTGAACGCTCCCATAGCTCAGCTTCGCTCATTTTCAGCCAGTCCTGTTTCCGCTACATTTCTAAAAATGCATCTTCGCTAAATGCACCACCAAGGCAAAAGCACAAAATAAGTTTAAAATAACCCACGTTCATTTATTTATAGATTTTCAGTATGCGTCCACCCCGTAAATATGCAAAGATTTATAGAGGAAAATAGCCACGATGAAAGTAAATTGGAGCTCCTAAGGATGGTCACAAAACCTGGTACTGAACTGTTAGCTGATGCTCCTTCACCGCGATTTATTAAAAGCCATCTGCCGCTATCTCTATTTCCGCCTAATATATTGGATGGAAAAATGATTTACGTCGCAAGAGATCCGCGGGATGTTGCAGTGTCCTTCTACCACTTAAATAAATCTATGAGAACACAGGGATATACCGGAGACTTCAAACTGTTTTGGGAATGCTTTATGAATGACTTACGTAAGTATTACTTGTACCAAAATTTAATACTTATAAGACTGTGTTGCTTATAAGCTACGTTTTCCAAGACATAATATTATATGGTACTAGCTGCCCCTGCGAACTTTGTTTCTCCTTAATGTGATTTTACTTAGCCTACCTTTTTAGTGCATACCAGCATGGAACATTTTGCTATGCTACCCCAGAGACTGTTCGGTTTTCTGGAATGAAAACTTTTTAGGTTTTCTGTGAAGTTTCCTCTTTATAAACCTCAGAGTTTAAGTCATAAGATTTTTATTAGCAAATAAAAAATAGGGGTTAAGGGGTGAAAATTAAGGGTTGTAGGTATTTTTGTATGCTGTATCATAAAAACAATAAGATTTTTTTTTAAATATAAAGATAAAAATGTAGGGGTAGAACACCTTTAACATTTAGGGGTTTGAAAGATAGATAATAGCCGATTCTAGGACTTACTGAATATGCATAAAAAAATTCATAAGAATCGGTCGAGCCGTTTCGGAGGAGTATGGGAACGAACATTGTAACACGAGAATTTTATATATTAGATTAACTAAAATTCTATCTAACATTTCAGACCACTGGACACCTTTTTTCGAACACTTAAAAGAAGCGTGGGAAAAACGTCATCACCCAAATTTGCTATTCCTCTTTTATGAGGAGTTGTCAAAGGTATGAAACATCGGCTTTATTGTACCCTTAGTCGTTACTATTGAAATTGATTTTACAGTTAAATCCTGTTATATTATATACAATATGCCGAGTTTTTTGGAAACAAACACCGACTACACAACATAATACACAACGCAAACCTACCTATATACGTTGGGTTTTCATCTTTAACTTTCTTAACAACAAAATTTTCGCTATCGATTCAAACCTATCACTAAGAATCTTAAGCAACATCTTTTGCACCTGTCTCATGCTCAAACCGAAAGTATTCTTCTTCTGCAACAGTTTAATTATGAAATTGTAAGCGTTAGATTGTCTTGCTACGCAGAGACATTGCGTCTTTTTGCGTTTTTTACAAAGTAGGTATACTACGGAGAGTGTTCGGAAGAATTGTATAGGTTGATCCCTCCTGCCTCTTTTCAACACCGTACGAGCACTAAATTTCACCAACATCATCTTGATGGTTGGAGGTCTTCCACAGTCCGTTTCACAAGGCATTTTCTTTTGCGAACTAGCGAACTGTGGAATCGACTCCCGGTGGGGGTCTTCCCTCAGAGATAAGACCTCCAAATGTTTAAATCGAGTGTACTCCTCCCTCAAAGACCGGCAACGCACCCACTAATGTGTCTATGGTCTGCGAAGACTGCCCTTTTTGGTCGTCCCGCAAGCTCGTTTGCCCTCCTATTATTAAAAAAAAATTATTACGTCAAGTTCCTGTAGTCATAAGTTAGTCAAATGGAAGAGACCACGACACAGGGAATCCTAGTGTGGAGACTAGCGCACTTTCTCTTTTAACTATACATCCCTTTTAAATATATGTAATAAAGTTTTTTTCTTGTTTAGTCAAACCGATTGCACGGTTGTTCAGTGTTCTTGCTTCATTGATAAAAACGAATATATTCCTTTGTTAATAAATCTAAAAAGAATTTTTAATATGATTGGCAGAAAAATTGACTCGTGTGTGTATGTGTGAGAATTTGCGATAGGTCATGGCAAGACACTGGGCATACATCGTTAAACAACCCTCAAGGTCGTGTCCGCCTATGAATTATTATTACAGAACAAACCCGATGTTCGAGCTGCAAAGCCCAATAACGTCCGAAAAAAAAAAAGTTATAATAAAAAAAAATATTTTGTATTTAAGGATTTGCCGGGAGCAGTTCGTCGCGTAGCCGATTTCTTTGGCAAGAGCTACAGCGACTTACAGATTGAACACCTTTGTGATCATCTCAGTATTGACAGTTTCAAGAACAACAATTCCGTGAACTATGACGTCATGAAGGAACTCGGAATTATGGTTGGCAATAAAGAGTTTATCAGAAAAGGTAATTTAAATTACAAACGCACAAACATTTATTTCAATTATTCTATCTTTATATTCGATGCAACCCTTTTGAATGTATATTTATGGGTAATATTAAAAATATAATCATAGACAAAAGATACTGTATATTGTTTAATGCAAGGTTCCAATAGTAACAAAGTAAAAAACACACTTAGAAGAAACATTCCGAAACTATCGTAATAAACACGGGGTGAAAATGAAGAAAAAACAAGACGAAACAACGGCCAATCTCTAATCCAACACGCGTAGACACTCGACATGATACGCCCTATTACTTCCGTCTAATTTCAAACGCACGGTTTCCTCTTACTTTTCATTCTAACTAAATTTGTCGACACGAAGTGTAATTTTCATACAAATTTAGTTTTCAACTTTTTAGTTTCTACATACACTACTGTTAAGGCATATTGACTAAGCCCCCTGGTCTATTATTTCGCGTTTATTAATAAGTAAATAAAATGCGATTTCATTGAATATTTTTGTAGGCAAAGCCGGTGGTTGGAAAGACTACTTCGATGAGGATATGACTGCTCAAGCCGAGAGATGGATTGCTGACAATCTACGTAACTCTGACTTACGCTTTCCCCATCTTTAATAATCTCCATTAATATAAACATATTTTCTAAGTTTAATTTATATAATTATTACCTATAATGATGATAGCTTATAATATAATAGATTTATTTAATAAATTGGATTAGACATCGATATAACATTTATGACCTACTAACAAAACACACGTAATAATAATAATAAAAAAGAAAGAAAAATATTTTTTTTTAAAAATTTTTATTTTAAGTGTGTAATATTTGTGTTGTGGTTGTAACTGATCCTGGCTCAGCATTATGCCGAGGAGCAGACGTGTTCCACAACGCTGGTCATTCTGCCAGATATTACATCTATGGTGCGTTCCACTAAGCGCTCACGACGATCACGCTCACGACCGCTGATTTCCCCATTCCACTTGATTGTGAATGTTACTGTCGTTAACTCAAGTGGAATGGATTATGGACCGTTTCGGGCGTTCATGTAAATATTACAAATGTCAAGTTTGAAAATAGTAGAATTTTAAGGAGGTTAGGTAATCATAAACAATAAGTTTTGATATTTGTGACTTAAATTTATTTATGTTAAAAGTGAAGAATAATTGAATATTTTATAAATAATTTTGGTGAAGTTATCAAACAACTTAAGTTTAAATATAATCGAAATGGCTTTACAATTTCTCTTTCTGAATCAAATAATGTGATTTTTCTTGTCGCCATCTTTAAGCTTTGAATATAATAATATTATTATTTGTCATATTTCAAAAATTGCGCCAAATTATTCTCAACGTTCTAAAGAGGTGGGTCGTTGTGAGCGTTGCGTGAGCATTTGTCATGACGTCATGAGTGACGTTTTCGCCGTGACCACAACGACCGCGGTCGGTATGTGGAATGGCTAAAGGAGCATTTTGATCGTCGTGAGCGCTTAGTGGAACGCACCACTAGTTTGCGTCAGACGCAAAAAAAAAGAATGTAATAATAATAATGGTTCAAATTAAGTATAAGTAAAGAAGTCATATAAAAAGTATATAGTAGTAAATACAAAATAATATAATTGTTAAGAAATAGATAAATAAATATTATTGGGCGGATTAAAAACTAACGGATTAATGGGTGGCGAAAGAAAATGACAAATTGTGGTGATATAACCATTTATTGTAATAAAATGCTCTATTTAGTACTTTTAACACCATGATAATAAACATTGACACTTTAAGTAATAATGTACGCTTAGTATAAATCGTTCTCTGCCGAATTCCCGTCCACAAATAAAACAATGTTTCAGTCCTTTACGATTTTATTAAATAATTCAAATAAATTAAAAATGTTCGTCAGAAATATAAAACCTATTCGTAATGGATAAATGTATCGCGATGCAGTCTTTGCATTGTAGGATTGCGCACTTCACAAGGACTGAAACGAAACAGCGTTACATAAAATTTAACAAACAATTATTCTTATAATGCAAAGACTACATATTTACATGAGCACAGTCGATACTTTCAAGCAGTTACACAATGTACTTTATAACTCATTCGTTATCGCCAGCCTTAGACGTATCAAAGAAACGGGATGTGGTCTACGTCCGAGCTGTGCTTGCGTGACTATTTGACTATACATACTGTGAAGCCACTAAAATAAGTCGTGCGCCACTCGGTGACGCACCTAACGCGACCTTATCTATACACTTATAGAAAAATCACAAAATTGAAGCGATTAAGGAATTAGGAATAAATTCACGCGATGACATCCGGCAACAGCGCGTTGTCCATGGGCGGGCTGGAGGGAGGCTTGCTCACTTCCTCGGAGCCGTTTATTCCGTTCGGGATGATCTCGGGTTTGGCGAGCTCCTTCCTGGGTACGCTCTTCACTGCTGTTTTGTTTGCCACGTTGCTCTGAAAATTCAATTTAATATTTATATTAGAAAATAAGTAATACAAAACTCACCAACTTCAAATACATGTCAACATATTTATTTATAGAATTTTTATGCCAAATTAAAACGAAAACTATATTTTCTATGTTTTTTAATCACATTAAACCCCATTTTACACAGAGGTCGCTCTAGTGAGGCGTCGTATAGGTACGTACCCCTCTAGAATTGCGAGGACCCATATCTCGAAAACAACGAGAACAGTCCAATTACATCAATATTTAATTGAATTGGCCATTCCCTATGGTGGTATTCTCCTACCTAGTATTAAAAAAGATCACATCGATTCGACTAGTTATGAGATGTTTATGGACAACCATACCCTCCTCAACCTCTTATGAAATTTAGCATTTCACGTGTGTTCGGGTAAATCATATCTAGTGTGTATGAACGCAACTCTTTAAAAAAAATAGAATTATGTTTATTTTTCAAGTAATGGGCCTTTTAAAAAATAATGCTAATTGAAATCCCGATATTTAGGAACAGATTTTTTATAAGAAATGTTGTTTTTTAAATATCACCCTTCGTATAGATCTTTCTACTATCTAACAATAACATCAAACTTATAACCTTTTTTGAAGCTGGTTTAAAACAGCAAAAAAAATTCAAAATATAGTACAAGTAGAATACATAGTAAATAAATATAATAATGCGATTATAAACCGACTTGGTTCGTAGATGAAGTAATGAGTATCAGAACAGTAATGATAAGCAATACCTTCCCTTACCATAACACTTTTTGTTCTACCCACATTTGCTTATTTATTATTTTATGATATGGATACTAAACTTAGCAATGCTTTTTCACAAAGACCTATTGTTACTTAGTTAAAAGGTTATGAAACATACCTCGTTATTAAATTGAATTGATAATATAATAAAATAATAAATAATAATTATTATTAATATTAATTAATAATTGAATAATATACTAAATATTAAATATTGTTAAATTATTAACGCTAAATATTTATTATTAATTATTTAATATTTAAAAAAAATAAAGAAAGCCACAGAAGTATAACTTCTTACGCGCGTACATAAGTACACGCACCATTTTTTGTTTATGTAATAAGAGGCAAACGGGCAGGAGGCTCATCTGATGTTAAGTGATATGACACTCATGCCCATGGACACTCACATTGAATTGAAAAATTATCTCTCGAAGGCTCGCAAGGGCGTGGCCGGCCTTATTCTTAACTCTCTACTAACGTACGGTCGAATATATTATTAGATCAGCCTTGAATATAACCTAAACGTAAAAGCTATCATAATATTCCTTCTTATTATACCTTAGCGGGTGCAGTCCTGGGTGGAGCAGTCTTAGCTGTGATGCGTTTGTTGGCGAGGTCTTTACTCTGTTTGTCGAGTACTGTACGTGTTGGTTTTGCTGCTGCAGGCCTGAAACGTATTTTAATGTTTAAACTACTAAACTCGGGATTTTTCTATTTTCCGAATAGGAGTAAATGTGTAGCAATGTGTTTTTTGTTTCCATACACACAAATCTCTTTTATAGAGTATTCAATGGATGGGACGGATATTTGTTAATTAATAAAACGTCAACGGTACTCACTTAGCGGGAGCAGCGGCAGGCACTCGCGGGGCGGGGCGGGGCGCGGGGCGAGCGGCGGGCGCGGCTTTTGGAGCTGGTTTGGCCGCTGGTTTCACGTCACCGTTCGTCAACGGCTTCTTCTCGGGTGCCTTGGGCTTGGACGCCGCGACAGTGGTCTTCGCTGCGGTGGTTGTTTTGGTGACAGTTCTCGCCGAAATGGGCGCGGGTCTGGTGATGGGTGCGGGCGGTTTAGGAGCGGGTGCGGCGGGTTTAGCCGTAGCTGGTCGCGGGGCGGGTTTTGCGGCCGGAGCTCTAGGAGCTGCACTGAGGGGTTTGGGAGCCGCACTCGGGGGTTTAGGAGCCGCACTCGGGGGTTTGGAAGCGGCCGAGGTCGTTTTGGCGGCGGTGGGCGGCTTAGGCGCAGGTGCCTTAGTCGCCGGTCGAGCCGCAGCAAGACGAGGTGCAGTTTTAGCGGCGGCCGGGGCGAGCGGTTTGGCGGCTTTCGTCGGGGAAGAGGCCTTGGGGGAAGGTTTGGCGGAGGCGGGGATGGGGGCCTTCGGCGCCGTCGCTCGCGGAGTCGTGGACGAAGTCGGTCGCTTCGTCGCGGAGGCGGGCGACTTAGCGGGAGTTTTGGGGGCGGTTTTCGGCCGAGCGGTGGGGGTGAGAGAAGGTTTTTTGACAGCGGTTTTAGACGAGGTTACGGCAGCGGTGGCCGCAGCGGCGGCGGCGACGGCACCGGCTAATGCTGTAGCGGCCAACGGGTCGAGTGGGGCCGCGATGGGTGCGTCGCTCTGTGTTTGGTCGATCAGGATTGCCGGCGTGGGTGGCGGAGTTGTCGCAGGTCGAATTTGCTCCTCGTGGTTCGGAATCTCGCTCGAGACCGCGACGCAACTTTCTACGAGTAGATCATTTTGTACGACATCGTTTGGTAATATCGAATCTCCTAGGGACTCCACGGGCACATCTTGCGGTATTGAATCACGTATATCAGGAAGAGGTGTTTTTACAGGAGGCTGCTCTTCTGGAATAGGAGACTCTCTCGCTTCCGATTCCTGCAATAGAATGGGTGATTCTCTTGCTACTGATTCCTCCTGTAGCGGAGCAGGCGAATCTCTTGCTAAAGATTCCTGTACAAGAACGGGTGATTCAGTTCCTACTGATTCCTGTACTGGAATGGGTGATTCTCTTATTTCCGACTCTTGTAAAGGAACAGGTGATTCTCTTGCTTTCAATTCCTGTGAAGGAGCAGGGGATTCTCTCACTACTGACTCCGGTATAGGAATTGGTGATTCTGATGTCATTGATTCCTGTTCAGGAATAGGTGATTCTGCTACTACAGATTCCTGTACAGGAACAGGTGATTCTGCTACTACGGATTCTTGTACAGGAACAGGTGATTCTCCTAACTACGGATTCCTGTTCAGTAATAGGTGAATCTCTTGTTAACATGTCTTCTAAAGATTCCTTTTGTGCCAGCAATGGAGACTCCCTTGGTACAACTGGGAATGGTGAATGCCTAGGTGTAGTTATTTCATTAATTGAAAGGGTGTCGTCAAGAACCGATTCCTCAACAGGGAGAGGAGACTCAGTAGGAAAAGATTCCTTTGAAACTGTTTCCATAAGCGGTTCAGGAGACTTGCTAGGACCTAATTCCTGGAGCGAAAATTCGCTTTCTAAAGCACTGGTTTCTAGGGGCAAATCCTTTTGAACTGGCTCTTCTAATGGTTGGAGAATTGAGTTTTCCACTGGAAGAGGTGATCGGTGTTCAGGCTCATCCATAAGTGACGATTCAGAAGGAGCGGGTGACTCTCTTGGTAAAGGTACTTCTGCAGGAACTAGCGGTATATCCTGGGGTGGAATGGGCGAATGTATTTCCTCGGGAACGAGAGGTGATTGTGAAGGTAAAGGTGATTGCGCAATAACAGATGAATCACCCAACATAAGGCCATCGGAGACTGCTTCAGAAGGTTCCGGTGACTTGGAAAGAACATCATCTGGCAATGGCGACTGTCGTGGCAACGAATCTTCCTTTTGTGTTATATTTTTATCATTTTGATCCGACTCTGGAAGGGGAGAATGTGTTATAAAATCTATGGGCTCTGGAGTTTTTGTTGATAATGTATCATATATTGGAACTTCACCACTATCTAGAGTGATTTTTGGGGTGTCCAAAATCGCCTCTTCATTATCAACTAATTCATTACAATCATATTGTTTATTTTCAGTCTCAAACTCGTCCACATCTTTTTCAGACTGGTGGACATCTACAATTATATTGTTTTCAATTCCTTCAGAGTTTAATCTATTGAAATTGGTTGTCTCTGTTGGTTCTGGTGTAAGATTATCGGATTCTAATTCAGAAACAAATTCACTTTCTTTTTCAATGATATCTGCTGAATGCTCAATGAATGTTTGCATATGTTCATTGGCTTCAAATGGTATATCATTTTGCATTTCAGTATCTTCCTGGTTCATTTCCATTTCATCATCTTGAGACAAATCTTGTGGTGTTATATTATCTTTTTCACTTTCGGATGGATCTAACAGATCATCATTACTAAAACCTAATTCTGAACTTTTACCATCAGGTATTTCAGGAATTTGTTCAAAAAGTAATTTGTGAGATTCAGGCGTGTCTGTTGGTATGACATTCTCCTGATTGCTATATTCAAAATCAACATTGGAATAGTTTTGCATATTGTTAAATTCAACATTGCATTCCACATTTTCATCAACAACATTATTTTCTGTAATATCATTTCTATCATCAAATCTTAATATATCATTGTTAGGTTCCATGTCATTGTTTGTGAGTGAAAATAAATTGTTGTGTTGTTCTGGATGAACGTTTTCTTTATCTTCTACATGTTGGCAATCTCCATTTTGTTCTGTGTCTTCATTGTCACTATCTGGTAGTAGTTGTACTGAATTAAGATCGACTTGCGATTCCAGTTTGGAGAATCTTTCACATGTGTCATCATCTTTCTCCTGGTAAAAGCTCATGCTCATGGGATCTCTTTCCTTATTTTTAAGCCTTTCAAAAAGATCATTATTGCCTTCTATGCTGAAAGGATTGGTTTCACTCTGTGTTTGAAATACCTGGAATAATAGAAACTTGTTACAAACTAGTTAGGTCATGCATTAATAAATGAAAATATATTAATATTTTACCAATGGTTAACTATCTAAATTGGCTTATTATTGATATTTTATATTATTCAAACTCTAATTATTGAACAATAATATAATATACCTAATTAGAGCTTGAGTTGAGATTAATGAATGAACCATATCAGGTTTACTGTTAAGTTTTATTTTAAAATTGGAGATTATTAGACAAAATATACTAACTTGTATATTGCAGAAGTCTGTAGTATCCTTTTGTATCCTTTCAAAATCTTGGATAAGACTTGAATCCTTTATTTTTTCAGACTCGAGTCCATTAAATTCAAAACTGTCCATATCACATTTCGTATTCCCATTTAGATGTGCAGTAACACCTTCAATTGAAATATTCTGTAAAGAATTTTACATGTATAACAATTAATTTCTTTTTGGCACTAGACACAACAAGTTATAAATTATAATAAGGAAAGATGACATATCTGAGTCAAATCAAAAGGTAATTTAACTCTTAAAAGTAAGCACTACTAACTACAATAGAGCTCAAGTGATGTTGTAAAGAGTTATTTACATATCAACTTACATGGTGACCATTCAACTGATCACAATTATCCAAGTCTTGTAACTCTGCTGGTCTTCCACCGGCTTCAGTCTCAAACTGCTTGACATCAGGAACTATAATGTCCTCCATCGGTAAAGGCTTACGTGGAGACTGAGCCAGCAAGACATCAGAACCAGCCACTCCACCCGGGACAAACACCGGAGCATCAGGGTTTAGAGGTGAACTATTCATGTCTACAGAACTATTCTCCCACGCAGACTGAAATTTAAGAAAATATTATGAACATAAGTTATCTTACTGCATTAACTAAACTTTAGGATAAGGGACAAAAATTTAGTGGAAAGGATTTTTCACCTTAAATAACCCTTTCTTATTGCTTGTTACCGCTTAACAAAGGCTTCTTTGCCTTGTATACAAATAAAGGTTTATTGACGTATATTTAAAAAATCTGACTAATTTTATATTTATGTGTGGACAAAAACAAAAGTTTTACAGAAACAATGACTTTTATTTTTATTTTGACCTGAAAGCAAATCTTTATTAAAATAAAGAAAAAATCTATGTTTATAAAATATAGACATCATTAAAAAATTTTACTTCATGAAATTTTTTATTACACAATCATTCGCTTATATAGCATGTTGGACTTTAATGCAGTTTATGAAAGTGTTATATATTACATAAGGAACTAGTTATTGGCAATAGTTACAATTATGTAAACAATAATAAAAAACAAAACAAGTATTATTGAAGACAAACAAAGCATTATCATCAGTATTTTAGGGGTCAAACTGGCAGGTACTTTATTCATAAAATAATATATTTTTCACATACTAGCACTTTCGTTGCTCTACATATAAATGACGCAACAGCAGCAAAAAGCATGCTTTTGCTTCATCAGTGAATATTTGCAGAATAATTGAGGATATATCTACACCAAACTTATAAATAATTCATTACGAAAACTATGTTAAATACTAAACAATTGTTCTTAAAACCACTTACATTATCTTGACAAGGAGTCTCTGATCGGGGTGCCTCGTCTGCTTCTTCACTAGGATTCTGTTCCGATTCGCCTTCGCCTTTGAAGTAATTCCACTCGTCCTCAGAGTCTTCACCACTCTCAGCTACATTATCCACCAGATTGCCGTCGGTTTGGCTCGCTTCCACTGCACAACACCATAAATATAAGGACAAAGAAACTCCAACGATTTTAGTACACAACAAATACCAGGTGACAAAGAACAATACACAACCCTTGTCTATCAACAGGTGACACACCCTCGCCTAAAACCGGCTCTCACTAGATCTTATAATATAATATTTCAAGTTTAATCTCTGAAAAGTACAATATAAAACTTTGTGGTAAATAAATAATGACAGATAACGGCTGAGAACCGCGTGCTAGCACTATTTACCGGTCGCGGAATTTAAATTTCGATCATGTTCAAACTCGCGAAACTTTGGCGGACGCCATTACAGGTTCCAGACACGCCCGGTCGAATTATTTTATATTGACCCATACAAAAACTTATATGGTCTCTGCGGGAATCCTTTACACCATTATGGAGGGATGTGTTATCCAACAATTCTATTTCCAGAACGCCGCTCGGCATGAATCAACACTAAAATAACCACATTACAAACTATTTATGTTTGTAATTATTTAACTTCAAAATCACGTACCAGAAACGGCTAGAAGCAATATTCAAATTATTTCAGTTTTTAAATAATTTAAGTTTTCTACACAAAAACTTGATTATTTCACAAGCAGTGATATGAGAGCGACACAAACCCAGCGAGCGTTCAAAATATGACTGAGGCGGGAGCGGGACGGAATGATAAACGAATTCCGTCGGGCGTCGTACGACGGGCGAGCATAGGGCGCGAGGGGAGACTAGAATGTTACCAACATATATTTAAAAATTCCTCTTTGTTATCTTATTTATATTTTTTAAACTGAAATAAAAATAAAAATGTGTTTTTTATTTATATTTTGTTCGACATAGCGTTAATACGATTAGTGAATTATTTAATAAGTGAGATGCGATTATATAAGTTAATTTATATCTATATAAATAACTGTAGTTATAAAAAAATATTTTCTTGTTAATTACAATAAAAATAACTGTTTATTATAATAAAAATTAAATTTCGTTTAAAGGTTAGATTCCTCAAAAAACCTTGAAGGCTTGTAGTTGGCAACACTGGCAACAACAACGCGGCATGCGCCAATACATCGGGCCTCGGGACGTGCAAGTCGCAGAAATTATATAGCATTTATACTTTATATATTATATATTATACGATATAAAATGTATTTATAGTTATTTACTTAAGTGTTATTATTACTCATTTAATTATAATTATTGTTTACTACCAGTTACCAGTTTCCTGTTAGGTTGTTTCACTTTAAAAAACGATGGTGACTAAAGTCTAAACGACTACAATAACTAGGTACTTAAATACCATTTTTAACAATGGCAATTAAATAAAATAAAATAAATCTATCCATAAAAAAAAAAGGTTCATTATTTGAATGTCTAAAATTGTTGTTCGCTCTTAAAAAAATCATTGAAAATCATTTCAATCAATTTGTTGCGTGTTTTTTTTAATGTCAAATATCAAGTTAGTATATAGAAACTAAGTCGAGGAGGTGTTCAATTCGATTCCTGGCGAAATAATTATCGTCTTAGACAGTTTTAATTTAAAACTTGTACATAGAACTTGCGACATTCTCACCAGCATGTGCAGGCGGAGTGGGAGGTGCTGGGTTCCTCATCTCTATATCTCCATCATCAGCGTCCACGTCGACTGCCGTTTCGGGTCCCAAATCCTCGCTGTCGCTATCTGAGACGCCGTTGTCTTCGCCACCAGCGGCCTCGGCCACTGTATTGACTTTGTCGTCGACATCGAACGGGCGCAGTGGTGGGCTCACCACCGCGTTGTCCAGCCTACAAAACAATTTATTAGAACTAGCCACAACTCGTAACTAATTAACTAAGGGTAAAATTCATATGTCAAATACAATACGTGTTTGACTTACGGGAGTCACATTTACCTCTCTCTCTCTCACACACAAACATACATACTCTCTCTCTCTCTCGCGCTCACACACACAAACAACACTCTCTCTCTCTTGCACACACACACACTCTCTCTCTCGTTACCCTTACCGGGTTCTTTATTTACTGTAAGCTTCAGCATTGTTTGTCCTTATTACAATTGTGCCGCTTAAATGTTTAATTTATGATTGATGAATGTGATTAAAGATTTATGTTTAAAATATCTGATACCTCGTTTATCTATTATTAATAAGTACATATTTCTAACTTTTCTTGAATAATTATTTACAGTTAAATCGTACAATCACGACAAAAATACCTTGTTTTACTTTATGCGGTTCTGTTTTCACTATTTTGTTCAACGACAAGAATCAATTAAATTAATATTCCGTTTTCATTAATTTGATTTATTTTATCTATAGGTCATATAAAAATACCACTTTCATAGCTTTCATTTTCACACAAATAATGATTAACATGAACAAGGTCATAATGATATCGGCAAGTAGATAGAATGAACTCATAAGACCAGTTTTTTAGAATCCATTATGATAATACTTAGCAGGTGGCGGTTATTTTTATCCGACTCCGCGAAAATGATAATAATTCACAACAATTACTAAATAATTTCGTATGTAACTGAATAGATTTTAAATCTATATATGTAAACAATTAAACACCGCTTAGGGGAAAGTACATATTATGTATACGTAGATAATTCATTTTCCAAAAACTTCACGATCTTTAACATATTAAAAAACTTGCAAACTAGAAAAAATATTTTTAAGAAATAAAAATATTAATAAAATTTTCTCAATTTGAATGTTTTTTTGCATTTAATTGGATAGAAACTTATTTTAGTTTCTATACAAAAAATCATAACAAAAATTATTTTTCTTCTACATTTTCCCTTACAGCCGTTTCATATAAAAATGTACGGTCATATTTATAAACAAAAGGCTTGAGCCTCTAATAAACGTAATAATTGATATTTGAAGAATTTTTTTACTAACTTAAAAAGTTGTTTATATTTAGTACATAATTTAGTTAAACCCGTAAATCTCCTTAATAATTAAAAAAAACCGAGGTTATCATTTCGACGTGTTTTAGTAAATTTGAGGCTACTATTTCCAAAATATAACAAAAATAGTGCACCTAAACAGGCCTAGTTATGAAAAATAAATCTTACCCAAGCTCCATGGGCGGGCAGTTCTGGGCGGCAATATCTCGGGGGTCCTTCAGGAACACTACGATTATGGAGATATTATCCTCCGAGCCTTCCCTCTTCGCTTGAAGTATCAGACGCTTTGTCACTGCTTTCAAGTCATCTGTATAAAAAAAAACTTATAATTATTCTCTTAATCAAATGTATTTTTTAATGTGTTAATATTACAATTTATATTTAATTTGTTTTATTTCCGTAGTAAAATTATAAAAATGGCTATTATTTAGCATTATTATTTATTATTCCAAAGCAAATCAGCCCTGAGGATTAAAATTTGTCATTTTACGTAGAACCTCATATCTCGCTTGCACTCAATCAAATAAATAAATAGGTACGTCACACATTTATTAATAACACTATCATTGGCAAACTAATACATTTATATTATAGGGCCATATAATATGAACAATTCAAGAGATCCGCCTGCACACGTGTCTTTAGAGGGAATAAGTGACCTTGGACAATAATTGCGAGGGTACATAACTGTTGTTTAGTATCGCTAACACTTAGATCCAATCGGGGTTGACAAATTACTGTAATAACTTTGATGTATTTCCCCCCACTTCCCCTCAAATGTCACAGTTTATATTCAAGTATCATGAGCGCTGTCTATAATTATTAATTTAGATATACAGGCCACAAAGTAGGTACGAAATATATTAACTTCATTTAAAAATATATAGCTTCAAGAAGCAATATTAACCTAAAGTTAAAACATGACTCATTCTATTTCGAAGCCGAATCACTCACACATCATGCTCGGTTAGCTTGGGTTTTGTAGTCGATTAAAAATATACGAACCTAAGCTTTGTCTATGGACATGTTAAGTATCTATATGACAACAAAATATTTATACATATTAAAAAACCGCTGGGGGCTTAGACAAGATGCCTTAGCGTATGTACTGTAAAATTTATCGACACGAGCTGTCATTATCATACAAATTTAGTCATCGACTTTCTACATAACCTACTCTTAAGGCATCTTGACTAAGGCCCCAGTATACAACATTTCATAATAGCGCAATTATCTTAGCATCTCGCATCTTACGACGTCTATTATGTCTGCAATTTGTTGCAGCACAATGGTGAATAACCGTCGGATATGGAGTAACGATGTTTATGTTTGCCACCTATGATGTCCTTGTTCAGACTTAAACTAGCGTGAGTCAGCCTTTGTGCCACATGTACGCCACAGCACCTGAGTCACAATTCCGTTACTAGACGTATTTCAATATATAATTATATACTCAAGTCGCCCGTTAAACTATCTGTAGTGGTAGATTATTCATTATATGTATATCTAAAGAATAATGTAACATTAATACTATTAATTTGATTATTAAACGGCTGATTTAGGGAAGCATCACACAGCGTCTGATTATGGTATATATTTTTTTGCTAACTGTACTTAAGCATTATGCACGAGTCTGAGTATAGCTATTTATCTTTTATTAAAGGTATTAATTAATTTAGATCAAACGTGGCTTGTGCTTACAAGAGACGATTAAATTTGCTAATCACCCTTCACCCTACACCCTATTTTTTTTGGAACAGAGAAATAACTTTTCCATTTATATTGTATAGTCTTTATTTAGGTGAACATTGCCATAGACACGTTTAATTACCTCTTATCACTAAAACTCAGTATGTAAATTAAATAAAAGGTCAAAATTTGCGTGCTAACTTATGAATTATAGCGAGAAATTTTAGCAAAAACAAATATTTGCGTGATGGCATCATTACTAATTAGCCACATCGACACTCCTTCGGGGCGTGACAAAGTAATGGGTTTAAGTAATACGTAAAACACCGGTTATTTTGACAGCATGCAGTAGACGCGCCTTGACTTTGCTAGGTGCGGCACGTCTACACACTTGCTTTTTAGTTTCCCTGTCTGGCCACCTGCCAAACGCTGTCTGCATTTAGTATTTCATCAAAAGCAATAATGTTTTTGCTTTGAATTATACCTACGACAATCGATATCTTGAACCAATTGAATTCCGGAAATTAAGTTGTAAATACTTAAGATATACGTGACTGAAATTATCATTGTAAGTGCACTTTCAGTACTAAAAAAAGTAAACAAAGTAGGGAATGCAGTATTGATAATGCTAAACAACGAGCTGAATGATATATTATTTTCCTGTTAGGTTGCGATGTGCAATGAAGATGAACACATCGACGCCTATGGTCCGATTAACGGTGATATTGCTGGAATGCGTAGCCCCGCTCGGCCATTGTTCTTTACAAGCAAAAACCAATCACGAAACAACACCTGCATAAGCTTTACGAATAAAAAGTGACGTCACAGATATAAAAATAGTTGGGGGAAAATATAGTAATATCGTTAGTAGGTGAGGAAACTATTATAGGATAAATTAATTCCAATGAAGCAGACAATGTTCTAGTAAGACTGCGCGACGTTCTAATTTTATTAATCTCGTCTGATGCGCTTTTCTTTATTGCTTGAAACCTTATTACTTAGCGGATAGGCAATAGGAGTATTAGGAGCAAAATTAAATCAGGGAGGGGGCGGTAGCGGCAGGTGGCTGAGACGGCGGATCGAGTGCAATTTGCTAGCGAGTTCCTCCGGCCCGATGCAACCCGCAATGCGCGAAGCATCCGTTCGGAAATTACAAATTTGCCTTTCCTCCGTATTACAAAATAGTAAAAACAAAATATCGTATAAAAATTTACTTTTTGCTTTTTAATCCACAACGTTTCAAATCCTAACACTTCAACAGGCTGTAGCTTTCAATTTGCAAATTGCACTTTCAATTTTACCGTATAACGTGGAATTCTATACATTTCGAACCGTAAACGTATGCACCATACACATAGACTTTTCATCTGCTTAGTGAAAGCTCTTGAAACTGCATATAAACTACACGGCATGCAGGAGACAGGATGGGGAGTCGTGACCCCCCAGACGCCATTGCTCAAAGGTACCTGCGATTCAACTGTACGTGAAATTCAACCACGTCAAGGCTGCACAGACGGCTCTATTAAATTTCCTCCGTAAGAGCCTTGTTATTCAGATTATTTATCCGTACTTTTACTATTTCAATATAAATTCTCTCTAAAGTTTTGTATTTTGACTAAAGTATCTTAAACATTGCTTTTCCGCTCAAATAAATTAAACCATTAATATGAACTGACAACAATTTAATAACTTTAGTAAACGATATTGCAATAACCTCCGTGATTAAATTTATTAGGAAATTCCGTAGACAAAGCCATTAGAACGATGATATTATCACGGTATCGCTTTCAGAAAGTGGTTGTCTAAACAAGAAATAAACATGACACTGTATGTGGTCAAACAGTAGATCACTGCGGCATACTCGGATTTAACAGAAGGCCAATATGAAAACGAGTTGTTATGTCACAGCTGGAACGAATCAATATGGCCAGCTTCACTCCAAATCTGAAGTGTTAATTAATCGTTAAACGTAAATAAACTCGAACGTGAAAACGAAAGGGTCGGATATTTACGGATACATTATCGTAGGAAAACAAACTTGTCGCTACCACTTGAGCCCGGTCTCTATCTCTAATATAGCTAAAGTCGTCTCGTTTCAGCGGTGGACGGCACTTGACAAATATGAAAACCTCGTGAAGGCTTTCAGAATGCACGAAAAAAAGCGGACTTGCATTAAATGCAGAAAAATCTTAATGCAATTCTGGATAGAAATAACACCTTATTAAAACTACAGCAAAGATCTTAAAATTACTAATAATACGCTACTTATTGACCTTCTAGACTAATCAAACACTGAAAAGCTTTATCGTCTATCAACAGTTACCGAGAACCAATTAGCCCATTAGCGTGAACATTAAAACGCAATAAAATGTTAAGAGAACAGTGCCTTGTTCAGCGTCGGCCGTTAATTGGTGAAGGGTGAAGGACGGAAGAGCAACGTGGAGTCGGGAGGACCTCTAATTAACGCTCGAAGCACACACCGGTGCGATTGGCCTCAACTAATTGGGACTGTCTGTGACCAGTCGCGCAAATTCGCACTTTTTAATCTATGCCCTGATCCGAAAGTTATTTTTTTGCATCTAGATATTCAGGTTTATCTAAGGTAACTCAAATGTAGTCTACAAATACATAAATGTTAGAGCAACAATTAGTATTGCTCTTTTGAGTTCTACTTATTTAATTTTGGTTTTATTGCCGTTCAATTTGTCTTTTAATATCGTGTTGATAAATTTTAGTAGAATAGGTACTCTTATGAAAAACAACGATTCTTAAAACACTGCAATTACAAATATTACACATAACAAGTGTGAAATGGTAAAACAATAGAATGAAAAACGAGCCAAATTGCAAAAATAAACGAAACGAAAGATGAGAATCGGCACAACTGAATGTTGTTCCGGGAAACGTTATAATTTATAACAAACGCTTGTTACAACATACCTATATAGAAGTTATATCTATCATTACTATCATTTAAGGATTAATGCATAATGTATGAGTTAAAAGGATTTAATTATTTTCTGAAATTCGAACCACCCGCACAAACTTGCACAGTCTGGCGTATGTTTATAATGCGATCGATATAATGTCCGCTGAAATTGCAGGGAAAGTAGAACGTTGACGCATTTCAGATTATCAGCGATAATCAGAGGAGCTGCAAAATTAATCTTTAAATCAACAGAGTCAAGTATGCAATGTGAATGTACGCATTTTGTCCCCTTTCATCAAATGCAATAAGCGCTTATCAGGAGTGTAGTATCGATTAGATATAAACTGCAAAAATAAAAGCATTATAGAAACTTAGCTTAATAATTTAAAATAGGTAATAAAATATGTGACCTCAACGGATAGGCGAAATTATGCCAACCGCCAAACAATAGCGCTATTTGTCATACATGATTCATGGCGTGAATTATCGAACATCGCTACAGATCTCACGTCATCCCTGCTCACTTTATGTTCCAAATTTACCCAATGCGATCTACAGCTGCATATTAATCACTAAAGGACAGAATCAGAACGCAGAATACATGAGTGCGTTTTGTATCATCATTTAAAAATAACGTTTTAGCACTTAAAAAGTATCGAGGATTTCACACAAATGGAAATGCCGTGTAAAATAACCGTTACCCTGGATTATTTTGAAACTAGAACGAGAGACATGTGACAATGACAACGGACGCATAAAGAGAAAAACAATGTATGACAATTTTTACGACAGCTATATACCGTAGACACTTCACATAAATAATAGTTATAGAATATATCGAACGCAACAAATTACAAAGAAAGTAACTAATAAAGAAGCACGGAGAAATCTATGATTGTATTCAATTTAAGTTGCAATTTTCTCAACTAGCAGCTATTCGTTCTAGCTTTCATGAGATTTACAGCTACTAGATTAAATTATTGCACTACCATGACTTGTAGATGCTAACTTGTACATGAGTCGTGCAATGCAACAGTAAAATGATAATTACTAAACGAAACAAGAGAACGTAACTCTTCAGTAGTTCAACAAATTATTGCAACAGTTTCTTTATTAACTTTTTTTTAAAGAACGGGGGGCAGACTGGCCGGAGGCTCATCTGATGTTAAGTGATACCGCCGCCCTTGGACACTCTGGCATTGTCAGCCTTTTAAGAATTGGTACGCTCTTGAAGGACCCATTCGGAAATACTTCAGTGGGCAGCTGGTTTCACATTGAGTCCCAAAACTTCCAACAGAACTAACCTAGGTTGTTGAACCAAATATCGAACGTGATTTGAG